TTGCCAAGCGACGAAAACCCAACCCCGATGGCAAACACCGGGGGGGACGGGGCGGCTTCTTTTACAACGTCATTGCCAAGAGACGAAAACCCAACCCCGATGGCAAACACCGGAAGAGGGGGGGTGGGGGGTATCCATTTTTTATGGTGGCGTCGTTTGTTGGGATGCCCGTTCTCGCGAAACGGCAAAATCGACTGCTGAACGACTTTCTGCGCGAAACATGCGAACATCTTCACAGCCTGTGGTGAGTGCTGTTCGTACATGCTTTCCTCTAGCAGCTGAACGACTTTGCTGCAGAAGACTGCATTCGAACCAAGGACGACCAACTAGGGACTCATGGACGAGTTGGTGATGGACAGCTCTCATTGGCCAAGGCGACAGCAACTTTGTATCACAGCAAGATGCGCTTGGAAACCTCACAGGTGATATGAACGGCGTCCACACGGGTGTCCAACCCGTCCCGCAAGATCAGATATGGATACGCAGGACATATTCCGGGCAGCGTAGATAGGCGCCCGGAACAAAAGATAAATAAACGGAGCATGGCGTCAAAAATTCCGATTGTAAGGGCGACGGTCGACGGAGCGACGGCGGCGTGATCGTCGAAGGCGGATGCCCAAGGCCGCGCGACCGACCGACTCAACCCAACCTAACTCGACCCAACCCTCCTCGTATAGCAACATTACTCAACCTCACGCACTCTCTTGTCCGTGTTGGCTACTCTGTGTCCATACTGCTGTACCTTGGTGGAAGAAAACTTGTACTCGTACTCAGCAGCGAGCTCGATGCCGAACATCTCCGCTGTGTTCTCTTTCAGCTGGAGAAGTGGCGGGGTGGATGGATGAGGCGGCGAGCGGGAAGCGTGGGGGAACGGAGACGGCGGAAATAGCGAGTCCGGAAAGCAGTCGGGCATGCATGGGTACGAGTACAGCAGGTTTTCGTTTCACGCATGCGGGAATACGCGGCACACGTCCTGAAATCCTGGGCGGGGTCGCTGAGCTTGTAAGAACGAGGCGAGGCATTCGATGGAGAGCGGGACACGAGAGGACGCAACAATGTAATTGAGGCGGCGGCAAGCAGGCGGGGCCTTTTGTCGCGAACGGGTAGCGCAAGAAAAGGCCGTTGCTGTGGGCGAAAATGACATGACACCCATCCATTCCAACTCCAGTGGCGAATTGCGAAGTACTGGCTCCATGCAGCCACAATCTAACCACAAAGGACACCAGCAGCCGGTTCCACAGCAGTCCAACACCCCAGTACCACTGCTGCATGTACTGCTACTGTACGTCCAACAGTATCTGTATCTCGTTCTCCAGTCTCGAAAATCTAAAAAAAGGGGGCGGCGCAAACTCACGTACCACGACAGTAAGGGTGTGTTCAGCAGAGACGTCGAAGCGGAGTTCCGTCTCAGCCTGTAGCACCCATGTCCGAGTCTCCACCTTCGCTGTTGCAGAGGCCATTCTGCTTCCTGTGCCGTGTGAGTTTCACACACCGCGGCACACGACGTATATGTACGTCTGCACATCTGCTCTGGCTCTCCCCCCGACCGAAAGGGGTTGTGCGGATGGTAGTGATGTGTAGGCAGTGGCTGCCGGGGGGCACCGCACCTCGTGGACAGTCTCGTCTACAGTCCGGAGAGCGGGTACACGCGTACACGCGCACACAGGACACCCGTGCTTTAGCAGACCAGCAGTACTGATTCAAAAGGGACTGGGATCATACCGCCCCCACGCGCACAGGGGAAGCGGGATACAAGCTGTCAACGTCAGGCGAACCCAGCGAAACAGGCAGCACCGGTGACGAAGACGCCTACTGTTAGAGGCGCTCCTGCGCTCTTCAACATGCCCGTGGTAGCTCTGTTGTTGCTTGTTCTGCTCCTGGTGGCATGCTGCGGCTCCGGCTTCGTCATCGTCGTCCCTTCCACAAGATCTAGTTTACCGCTGCCGTCGGCGTCGATACAGCGGGGAGGGCGTTTCGGCTACGAGGGCCCGTCGCCGCAACAACAACAACGGCAACAGCAGCAGCAACAACAACATCAACGTCCCGCTGCACTGCGCTTAGCTAGCAGGAGCAACGTTTTTCGTGCCCCTCGGACAAGGACCCATGCGATACAAGACGAAATGATCGAAGGACTGGCGGCTGCTGTTTTGCCAGGAACAGAGGTGTGTACGTAGCGTTTCGGGAACACAGCGTACCTTGTGGTACAGCAGCAGTGGCGTCTGCTGTTGCGCGTTCTTCAAGGCAATGGTGCACCGCCACAGGGTCTTGTTGGATCTCCGACCTTCCGAGGTACCGAAGGGCCATCTACTCTAGGCGGGAAGCAACGGCATCACGCCTGGCTTTGGATCCACCTTTCCCTATTTCTCCGACGGAAAATATCTCCCGTCCATGAATCTCTGTCTGTCAGTCTGTCTCTAACCTGGTCATGCAAACTGCTGACGAGCTTCCTTTTGAGTGCAGAGAGGTAATCTTACACTGCACCCATCTGTCTCGACTCTTGCGGAGCGGAGTACTCGACGCCGGGGTAGGACGGCGGACAATGTACATGGAGGTCCTCCTCCTATCCACATGCTACATGCGTCTTGACCTTGCTCTGCCTCCATCCCTCTTTTTATATCCGGCTTCCTTCCCGTCCGTCTTTCGCCCTCTCGTGTCCTGCAGGTTCCGGTGGAGAGGTTGAGAGTGCCTCGCGAACCGCCAGAGCGGCGTCCCTTCGACCTCGATGCCGCCGTGTTCCTCGCCGACTTCGCGTTCGAGGTCTACAGGGTAATTTTATTACATTATCTGGTCGACACGAGACCTAATGGAGAATCATTCTCTTGAAAGCATATATATTGTACTCCGTTGTTTTAGCACCTTTTCAACACCACCACCACCAATCACAGCCAAATCAGTTTTTTTTTAATCATTTTTTTTTGTTTGATGTTTCATTATGTCCTGCAAAAAAACAGGATCCAGGAAAAGTGGCTTGGGAAGTGCCCGGGCCCAGCAGCGTTCGCTTCAAGGAGGGCGCGTTCGTGTCTAAAGTCTTCCCGGGGCTGCTGACGGTGTCATTGCTTGCGGCGGAGGGGCTTCCCATCGTTCTCGTACGTTCTCCACGGCTCTGCGTTTCGTAAACACTCAACTGCTGTGTCCTCCCATTGCCGTCCGTGGGATAATCTGTAGTGTACCCTCCTTTTTTGCTTTCTTTTACAAAGTAAACATAACCAATCTAGGGATTCCTCGCATAGCGTGTAGAGGCGATCGGAGTGGCCTCGACTATCTGTCGTCGACTTCTATTGGCTTGCGGACCCTTCGGGTCCACTTTTTTTTCGTATGCCTTTTGTTGGGTAAGCTAGCCTGTGACCACGGGAATCGACCCCGTCAAGTATTAGACGAGTACGGACAGGAAGGTGCTGGGCAGAGAGAACGGGACGGTTTTCATGTGAAGAAAACAGCAACAATAACCTGGAAGTACTGGAAGCCCAAATGGGAGCACTTTGGGAACACAGCACTCGAACACCTATTTGCCGCACCGCAGTCACCCTAGGCTTCGCTGTGTGAAACGACGTGAGAACCCTTGGTCTATCATGCTCGGCTGAGGTGGTGCACTGAGTGATATGCTATGTGACGCCTCTCCTTGGCCTCTGACTTGCTGCACACTATCTCCGAAGCCATGTGTCCCCTAGGTCGTAAAACTGTACCATCACCTGTTACTGGAAATAATTGCTGACTTGGTTTCAGCATGAAAAGTGTCCCCGCGTGTTTTGGGGGCACTTTTCATGCTGACGCCAAGTCACCCTTTGCCTGGTGAGGAGGTCAGATTCTTTGGAGGGAAAGTAGACCCTCGACCAATGGCTGACAAACGTTTTTGGTGCCATTTTTTCTTTTCAGAGGGACTGGGTACTAGGAGGGTGAACCAACCCGCAACGGCTACGTACTTTAGCCTCTACAAGGTAGGATTCGAGTTGTTTCAAATCCGTGGTGAAAGAACTTTTGAAGTTTCATGGAAACGGGGAGAAAAGAGAACAAGCCCCAACAAAAACCACAGCAACAGCGGTAACAGCAGCAACGGCGACGAAATCAGCCACGTTCACAACAGCAGCAACGCCATTTTTTGTTCGTTGGAAGCAGGAGCCCGTCGGCGGCGACGCCGGCAAGCGAGAGCGGGAGATCAACCCGTCCGTATCCATGGTCCTCGCTGATGAGGACATGAGGAGCGGGACCTTGGTGAGCTATATACAGACAGACAGACAGAGGGTATGGGTCATCCAATGTAACCGTATACTCGCCGTTTTGTTGGGCCTGCTGGTCGGCAGTTTGACATTCGTTCTCGATCGAGGTAGTGGTCTCCTCGGGTCCATCCCCATCGAAGAAGACCCGGCCGGGAGGGAGGGTCAGTTTCCGGTCTCTCGCGGGACGGGCAGGAGAAGCGTCGCTATTTACGATGGAACAGGGCGCGGGGGCGCGGGACGAACCGGAGTGTTGTTTTCGCCTTCCGAGATAGACAATGGGGGGCAAGTGCACGTCGCCCGGTCTTGCTCAAAGAAAGAAAATCACCGCTGTTTTTCTGGTGGAAAAATCTGTCGTCGGATGGTGTCTCAAGCTGCCAGGCGTTCTCGCGTCGTGTGTGTGGTGCGATCTTCGTGTCGTGGTCCAGTTCACGGTAGTATTGCCAACAGCGCGGAGAGTTGGACACAGTAATCTCTGGTTCGTCTTTATTGGTCGTTGTGTTGTCAATGTCTTGCCGGTGTCGCTTTGTTGTGCTTACCGCATTTTTGTTCATGTCTTCTTTTTGTTGTCTCGCCTCGTCCTCTGCACTTGTTGGTTCTTCCCCTCCTTTCTGTTTTCCTTGTTTTTTCTTTTCGTTTTTTTTGTCTGTTTCGGAGGCTTGCGTCCGACATTGCTGCCCCCTTCCTCCCTCTCCTCGGCCGCTCAAACACTCCGAATCATAAAAAAATAACACGCCACGTTTTTTTGTGTCCTTTCAGACGTCCGTTAAGCGACCACTCCCCGGGGGTCGATGTTGGGGCGAGCTATTCTCGATGCACGTGCACGATCCGGAAACGAGCGTCCTCGAGGTGGGCCTGTGGGACAAGGGGGAGGAGGGAGCCATACCCTTGTCCATGACGGGCGTCTTCCGGGGGGACGGCGGAAAGGAGCTGGTGGGCACTGCCAGGGTACCGCTTTGCAAGGTACACGTTGGGGTTTTTGCTTCTTTTGCTTGGTCAGAGACGGTCTACCCCCCAGATCTGACATTTGCCTGTTGTTCTGTTTTTGTCGGGCGTGGTGGCGGGAGTCGGGAAGTCAGAGAAAGGGGAAGATGATCGATGCCACCAGGAGATGGTTTTCCAAGACATGCGGCCTGTTCATTTCCTTTGTGCTCTCGTCGGTAGTCGTCGCAGCAAAACGGGCGGTTGGTTCTAGTATGTTTCTCTTCGTGCTCGTCCCGTGTATCTTGCAATGTCATCATGCGAAAGCGCCTCGGAGCGTTTCGTCGTCTTCCTTGGAAACACAGGGGGTTGACTGGCGCCAGCAGGGTGCTGGGGCCAGCAAGGGGAAGGACGGGTCGGTATCGCATCGCCGCGGGGTTAACACCGATCGCGGAGAACGGTGTAACTGCTGTGACGCCGCACAAACCAACCTGAGCACTCTCCGGGATTTCCTCCCCTTGCCTTCGCGTTTTTTCGCAAGACACGCGAAGAGGGTGAATGAAACGGAGCTTATAGAGGTGTGGTTTTGATGCGCAATTCCTTCGCGCTTCCCCTTCTCTCTAGCTTCGTCGAGCTATCTGTTCCATTTCTCCCCCCTCCTTTCTAGGTGCTGAAAGGCATGTCTAAGGGCAGAGATGACGCTTGGACCGGGTGGGTAGAGATAGACCCTATCCCTCTGCCTGAGGATGAAGACGAGGACGATGATAAAAAAACTCACCCTGACGCTGATGGTGTTGGCGGCGGTGGTCGTCCCATGGCGGCGGCGCGGCTGCACGTTGACCTCCGTTTCGCTCCGATGGAGAGGTGGGTGGGTGGGGCAGGAGGGATCAACATGGGGGGGAATAGCCCTCGGTGCCCTGAGTTTGCTGGGCATTCGCCACCTTGGATACATGATTCTTGCAGTATCTCCCTGTATATCAACGTGCATCCGTGTACCTGCCATGCGCAACATGTATGCACCCCGGCTGTGTCCCTCGTCGCCCTTCTGGAACCGCAACCTGATTGAAACACCGTCATATTACGATGACGACGATGACGGAAAAACGACGACAATGACGACATCAGGTACCAGGGAGGCGACCTCCCGACGGCCCCAAGAGCATCCGACAAGGACGTTGGGGGTGTCGGAAATTTTGCCGGCTCGATGCGCGCCCGATGGCAGAACCTCGTAGGCCAGGTGCGCCGTCGCTGTCTCTCTTGGTGTCGTCATCGCTGTCGTCTTTCGACCAGTTCTTCCTGTGAAGTGCCCCGAGCCTGCTCGATGCTGTGGGTGTACATTGTCTGGACAAGAGTCACACACGAACTCGTGCAGCAGATGGCAGTTCCCCGTCTTCCCTGTACTGTGCAGGGTGCCACGATCGCTTGTTTCTCTCCGTTTCGTTCTGTTGGTAGCAGGACTTTCCTGTTCGTGCCCTCTCTTTTTCTTGTCTATTTGGAAAGGAGGATGCCTCTGTTGTGCAGCGGTTGCCTCGCTCGCTCTTTTCAAGAACCTGCTCCCCTTACCTGGAGCTGTGTTTCACAGCCAAACACCAACCAAAAATTCTTTCAGAATAGACCCAACCCAAGCTCGCCCGTCATGGGGCGCACCGTACTCCAGCTGATTTTCCATGTCGGTTTCACCAGGATGATACCGCGGCCGCCGGCGGTAACGAGGACACGGCCGCCGCCGCCGCCGCCGCGGATGGCGAAGGAGTGGAGGTGTACGCCCCCGGGCTCTCGGCCAACCGGACGTTCCTGTACAAGGAGGGCGAGGAGGGTGGCAGTGTCATGGCCGGCAGAATGGACGCAGCCAACAGCGGCGGCGGTGGCGACAACTTGAGCTCCACAAGACCAAGCAAGGGCAGCAGCGCCAGCGGCGGTGGTGGCCGAGGCAGCAGTCCCGCCGAGGGCGAGGGAGGAAGATTCTGGAAGTGGAGGGGGGAGGCGGGCGGGGATAAGGCCAAACGCGGAGGCGGCGGCGGCGGTAACGAGGGCAAGGCTAAAGTCAAGAGGAAGCGCAAGCCGGTGGTGCTTAGGGAGGACGGAATGCCCGACTGGAGCGTGCTGACGAACCGAGTGGACGGGCTTGCGGAGCAGGCGAGGTCCTTCGAGTTCATGTGCTTCATCGACAACCACGACACCGACACGCAGGCAAGTCTAGGTCAGGGGACACGTTTGCGTTTTTGAGGTGGTCGTGTGAGAGTTTTGGTTTCGTTTTTGTGTGGTGTTGCTGCTGGTGCTCGGTGGAGTGGCTGGGAGCGATTGGTGTTTTGAACCCGTTGGGTGTCGTCGTCGTCGTCGTCGTCGTCGTCGTCGTCGTCGTCGTCGTCGTCTGTAATCTTAACTTCAACGGGCGGCAAAAAGGAAGAACCACACAAGGTATTGGAGCAATCAATCACACGAGAAATCGAGCAAGAAACAAGGTTGCCATTCAAACTGCTACGGTGCTAAGGTTGGCTGCCCCCCCGCTCCACAAGCATCCCCGCCAACGCGTGCCTCCCATCGCCTTGCCTCCGCCGTCATTTTTCTTCTTCGTCCTTGGCTGAGTGTATTGCTATTTTTGCTTGCTTGGCGTTGTTCTTGATCGTTGCTTCTTTTTGAACATCACGCCAGGTGGGGGTTTGGCGCGACGAGGCCAAGAAGCGTATGGTCGTCTCCTTCCGAGGCACGGCGCAGCTCGAGGACGTGATTACGGACGTCAACTTTCTGCTGGTGAGGAGTAGGAGTAGGAGGAGGAGGAGGAGCACGCCGTCGCCTCGCTAAACTTCGCAGCAACGTTCACGCTGCCGCTGCTTTTGTCCATACGTACCAGAAATTTCCCGTTTGTTCTTTGTAATATGTTTTCACCGCTAAAGCGTAGTTCACGGAGTAGGCATTTCCGCTAGAGATGTGCCGAAGTTATGGGAGGGATAGATCGATTGCATCTCCCCTTGGCCCTGTCTTTCAATAGCTAGATCGCTCCGCACAGCCGAGAGGGTGCGAAAACCGACCATTAGGTCTGAGGGTAACGTTGACGACGCCTTGTTCCCCTCCCTCTTCCGGCAGTGGCACCCTCTTTTCTGGTAGCGGAGCAATCGGGCTATGTACGAGAGTCGATCTAGGAGAGTGCGACGTTTCTCACACAGCAGTTACGGTAGTATGTGTTTCTTCACACCCAGAGGCTGGATTCTTGAATGCATCCACATCTTAGCTTGTGGAGCATCCTTCTACCGCATTCTTGGGCTCCACAACGTGTGTTCCCGATTTCGAGTGACTATTTTCTTGTGGTGTTGATCCCATTTCATTGAAATGGAAATAATCGAGACAGGCGTTGCTGCGTTTTGTTGTGCGGCCTCTCCCTTGTTCCCTCAGCGGCCTCCATGAAGCGAGTCAGTACCTATGTACACTGATATTTTTGGCGTTGCCCTTTTGGTTTCGTGAATGCTTTTCGTGGAAACGCCTCGTCTATTCGAGGTAAGTTGTTTCTCCCGCTAGTGTTGCTGACGAAACTTTGACCGTGTGTGTGTGCATTTGTTTTTTATGTTTGTTTCCAGGAGGACCTCGATCATTCAGGCGTCATCCGGAGGGCGGTGCTCCCGGCCGTCGATGACGTCATGGCCGCGGTGCGGGAAACAACCGCCGGCTGGAAGAAAGAAAGGGTGCAGCCGATCCCGGTTACCCTCGCGCAGCAGAAAGGTCAGGGGGCGCGGCGGACCAGCGCATTGCTCGGCGGGGACCTCACTATAATCATCATGCCAGTTAAACTCCACTCGTGGAGCCCCCCCCCCCCCTCCCCCCAACTCCGTCTACCTGTCCATCGTTGGCCTTCTTTCTGGTCTGTTTCCACCGTAGGGAGGTGCATGACGTTATGTGACGCCAATTTCATTGGTAGGTTGCATGCTTCGCGATTTCGTGTTCGCCTCAGCATCCAAAGGTCGGTAGAGGAGCGCAGATGGTCAAGCTCCCGAGAACCACGTGTCTCTCCGCATGAGCAGTAGGGATATCCGAGCATGCGCAATCGCGTTACATGACCCCCTATACCCACCNCCCCCCCCCCGGCCCGCGGCGGCGTCTCTCGGCCTGTGTGCCCCGTCCGCCCTGCTCAAATCGCCGCGAAAAAAAAAAAAGTGCACATGCTCGAGTCGATGAACAAGCTTCTCGATACCAGCAGAGCGCTCCTCAAGGACCTTAAGGACACCACCACGGCCTCCGCCGCGGCCGGTGGCGTCAAGCAGCTGTCCGGCGATAAGAGCGGCGGCACGGTTCCGGACGGTGCGGCAACCGCTGCCGCCGCGACCTCGAAAGGCGGTGGCGGTGTCGAAAGCGGGGGCTCCGCTGTCGGCGCGCGACCGGCGGACGAGATCCTGTCGGCAGTGACGGGGTTGCTGAGGCTCGGGGGCCCCGCAGAGCCGGCCTCCGCCGACGAGGGCGGGGTACTGACGACAACGTCGAGGGCGGCGGATACCGCTGCTGCTGCTGCTGCTACCTCCGGTGGTGGTGGTGACGAGCAGGAGAGGAAGGTGGGGGGTACCGCTGCCGCCGCTGCCGCCACCGCCGCCACCAACCTTATTAAGCTGCTCGACAGCAGCAACGACGCCGCCGGTGGCGGTGGCGCCGCCGCCGCCGCCGCCGCCGCCGCCGCCAACACCACCGCTAACAGTGACGGTGAAGGCGATGGTGTCGGCAGGCGTGTCGTCAGCAAGCTGTGGAAGCGGTGGAAGGGAGAAGGACAAGCGGGAGGTGCGGGCGGCGAGATGTCCAAGGCCCCCAAGGCGCCGGGCCTGAGTGGCGAGAGAGGGCTGGCGGACACCCTCGCTTGGGTTCAGCAAGTCGCCGAGCAGAAGGTCTGACCCTGTGTTGGTTGTTTTGGGGAGGGTTCTTCCAAGTTTTCATGTTCTAGAAAGGTTTACCCCTGTTCAGGTAGTTATCTTGTGACCACGGAAGGCGTCTGGATCAGTTGGATTAGCACGGATATTGGACGTTGCTGAGCGGATACCGGAGCAGTTTTGGATGCCTTTTTTTTCATTTTTCTTTTTGTTTTTCGGCTGGGGCTCGATCAGGCGGTGCCCCCTCCTACGTACCCCTCGGCATGAGAGTTTCTCGAGCGACGATGTGCCCTCCTGCTGCTGCTGCTGCTGCTGCTGCTGCTGCATCACCGCTACAGATGGACGAGATGGCCTCCTCCCAAACCTTCATCGGGGAGGAGATGAGGAGACAGATGCAGCTGCTGAGCGAGGGGAAGGTGAACGCCACTGAGAGCAGGGAGATTTTGGCCGGCTTCTTCCGGGAGCAGCTGGAGAAGGTCGAGGCCACCAAGGAGCTTGTGGACAGGTAAGGAGCTTGGTGCGTGCGCGTGTGTGCTTAGTTGTATTAGCATCGACCGCGCCATGCGGCTGACCAATGAAATGACGTCGTTCTCAGTGCTGTTGAGCCACGAAAATGCTTCTGTGTGTGTCTATGCGTGTTTTACTTTATTGGCATCGACCGCGCCATCCGGGACCAATGAAGATACGCCAGTCTCAGTGCTGTTGAACCACGAAATGCTTCTGCGTGTGTCTGCGTGTTTTTTCGAATTTGCATCGGCCGCGCTAGCCGGCTGGTCCAATGAAAAGATGCCAGCCTTAAAGCCGGATCAAGAACGCAAACACGTTTGCTTGGAATGTAAAGAATCCACCGACGGGCGGGGAGCGTCGGAGTTCGTGTGTGTGTGCGTTCGAAGGCATTTGTGCCTGCGTATTTCTTTACGCCGCGTCGGCCGCCGCGCATTCCGTCTGACGAATTCAATCGCGTCAGTCATTTTTGAAAGCATCGGGTGCTCCGGACCCCCCCCCTTCCCGCCCGCCCGTGTCTTCTGCGTTCTGCCTTCTACTTGCATTTTGTTTTCGTGGTATCCGTTCTGTACGTGGTAGGGTGGAGGAGTTCCGAGAGAGCCTCGGGAAGGTGGGTGTAGAGTGGGACGGCGATGCTGGCGGCTTGGTGGGTTTGGATGGCCTGCAGGAGCGGGTTCAGGAGCAAGGGCGGAAAGCGATCGATGACAAGATTGTTTCATTTCAGGTGTGTTTGAGAAAAAGAGAGAGAGAGAGAGAGAGAGAGAGAGAGAGAGAGAGAGAGAGAGAGAGAGAGCTAGCTGTTGGCAGCGGCATGCCGATGTGGCAGGGCAACGGTGCGGGAAGATTGCTGCTCTGCACGCAGGCGTTCATATTTGTATCATGCTTGCATGCTTTGCGTAGGGGTAAGTGTTTCGAGGCGTGCTGAGTGTTTTCCTTGGTTTGCATTTTTTTCACCCGATAGAGCACCCCGAAGCCCGCGTGTATCCTTTGAAACGTCCCGAGGCACGTCATGTATGCGTTGAAATGGTAGGTCGTATGGCATCAGGGCGTCTCCGTTCTTGATTTGTTGTCTCACGGACCTCGCCACACAGCTGACCACTGAAGCTACATTCGTTCCCGGCAAGCACGCTTTGCGACGAACACACAGTGTGTTATCTGCTGAGTGTGCCAATTTGCGACCGATGGGGATGAGACTGGCGGAAGGGCTTCCTGGCATGTGTACATGCAGCGCTATCTGCTTTGCCTGCACCGTCGACACGAACCAATTCTGATGGTTAGGGCGGGGAGTACTGAAAGGGTCTAAACAAACCACTTTGTCTATCGTTTGTTGCTGTCTGTCTGTCTGTCTGTCTGTCTGTCTGTCTGTCTGTCTGTCTGTCTGTCTGCCTGCCTGCCTGTCTGTCTGTCTGTCTCCACCCTACCGTTGCCTCTCCTTCCAACAATCTTCGCCCCAGGCGATGCTATCAAACGTCACCGCGCTGCAGCAGCAGCAGCAGCAGCTGGAGCAACAATCGTGGCGCGGGAGTGAGAACGGTGGGAACGTGACTACGCCAGTCGCCGACGGCGACGGCAATGACGGCGGAGAAGAGGCTGCGGCTGCAAAAGACCCTCCAAGGATACACGCCGGTTTTAGGAGGGCCTATGTGAGCGTGAACGGGACTCTGAGCGCGGTGTTGGGATCGGCCATGGAGGGGAAGCCGGAGGTGATTCGTCGTCGTCGTGGTCGTCGTCGTTGTTGTTGTTGCTGTATTTTCTGGAGTTTCATGTCTTGGCCTTGTGTTTCATTCTCTTTGGTAACTACAATATCCTACCGTTTGTTTCTTGCCTTCATCAGCACATACGAAGACAATGCAAAAAAAGTGAAGTAGACTTTATGTTCTTTATTATGATGATGATCGTCATACATCTTTTGAACTACCAACCCCCTGTTCCCAAGCGCAGGCAACAACAACAAACAACCACCCGTTAAGTCTTCTTCATGATGATGATCGTCATGCTTTTGTTTCCTTCTTTTTTTATGGTGCTACCGCTGCTAAACTAGGACTGGCACGTGTACATCACGGGACACTCCCTGGGGGGAGCACTGGCTACCCTTGCCACGCTGGATCACTGTCGGCGGTACCCTGAGGCCAAGGTCACAATGTACAACTTCGGCAGCCCGAGGGTGGGCAACAAGTGAGATATACTGGATAGTTTTGAAGGAGATGAAACTAAGGACGTTAGATAGATTCAATATGAAGACGTAGTGAAGATGCCATTAGATGACGGGAAGATAAGTGAGATCAAGACGGGTAGATAAGAAGACGAGATGGGACGATTGGAACGAGGTGATAGGGAGATAAGAATCTTGGAGAACAACGTAAGTATGACAACCAGGTTGGTGAAAGCGGTGAGGAGATTAGAAAGTCACGAAGACAAGCACATCTGATCAATATATGGTGGGACGACAGGAGTGTAAATAAAGACCGCGAACAATAAAATGAGGCATTCCAGGACAAGAAGGCAACAAGATAAACACGGATAGTATTGGACAGTCGAAACATTTCTGCCGTTTACATGGTCACTTTACTTTGTCAAATGCATAACCTACGACGTTGTGTTTTTCATACACTCACTATTGAAGAAGCAAACAAGGAAGTTCTTTCATTTCGCCGAGAAAATCAGGGCTTTTGCGGAGCTGTACGACAGCTTCGTCGGCGACAGCTTCCGGGTGGTGAACAACCTCGACATCGTGGCAAGAATGCCGAGGGCTACCATGGGTGGCATCTCCCTCGACTACCAGCACTGCGGCCGCACTGTGATGGTACGACGGGTGATGATGAAAAAGATGAAGAAAACGAGTCTTTGTAACACCCGGCAGAGCTGTTCGTTACGACGTTTCCGTAAAGTTGAAATCTAGCTTTATATAAGCACATGCGTGCACTTTTCTGTTGTTTTTTATCTCAGGTGGTATCCTGTAGCTGTACCAGTGGTAGAATTTACGTAAATTTTACTCCAAAGTTTCATCCGATGACAAACATCGTTGTGTTTTGTTGATGAGGGCTGAAAGAGCGGCTATGTGTCTCCTATGGTAGCTCAATCGTCACTAAGCACTCGCGTTGTCAGAGATGCACGTCCGGTGGCGAAGTCGACCATCATTCACGCGTTGATCCAAGCTCTCACTCACGTGTTGGTTGGAAATTCTCGTTGGACGCCGAATCCATACGTACCTCCCGGCTACCTGTGATGCCAGAGCGTCACCAGAGTAGTGGGCCGATCACGCGTGTGATATATCGGGTCGTTCCCTCTGTTTCAAAGGAAGTTTCAGATTTCCGTGTAAATCACCATCACGTCGAAATGTACGTTTTACTTCAGTATTTTCATTCTCTTTTCGTTCTTGTGACGACGTTTTCTTTTCACTCTATTTTCATTGCCGGATAAAGTACTTGAAATATAAATATTACGTTTTACTTCAGTGTCTTCACTCGCTTTTCATTCTTTGAAAGGAAACTATGAGTTTCCAGGTGTACTACAAACTACCTTGGATTGAATGTTTGACTTCCCCAATTTGCACTCTTTCATTCCTTTCCCACTTTTCCACTCCGACTCCTGTGTTCCCAAGGTCGCCGAGGACCCCGAAGAACCGCCTTGGATACAAGGGGAGGTGAGAAGCAGTCTTCATCTGTATCAAGGCAAACAGCTCAACAAGCAAGAGGCCAAAAAGTATCACACGTAGTACGGGGGGAAGAGAAACGCAGCAAAAACGCGAGCGCGCACTGATGCACTGGCTGTCGTGTGCACTCGACCCGCCATGCGGCGGGAACCGTGGTTGGCAGGTTTTTCGCGGGGTCGTTCCGGCGACTGCCCGTACTTTGGTGGTTTACCCGCGGGGTTTGGTTCGCGAGGCATGGTTTGTGTGGTTGATTCGGTCGGTCATGGAGGATAACTCGCATCCTTACCCATTCCCTCAAGCCCGAGATTCGGGCTAAACTCTGAACAAAACGAAGGATCCGCGGGTGTTCAGTGGAAATCGTGTTGCCCAGGATGATAAAATCTTTAGCCAATTTCTCCTGCGAACTTCGAAGATTTCGAAGAAGAACGCCAGGGACTGAGATCGTCATCCGGTGTCTAACGGGGCATTTTTTGCTCCTGCTCACGTTTCCCCGCCCTCCTCCACGCTTGCCATACCACGAACAACGATGTCGACCTCGCGTTGCGCGTGTTATAGTCTGGCGGAGAGTGTCCCCTGGAGGAGACGGACCCCGTGATGTTGCTGACACAGGGAAAAACGGACTTCTTCAGCGCCGAGATCGACTTCATGAAGGCGCTCTTGAGCGGCAAGGGCATCGACCACCACATGGAGTACAACTGTGAGAAAGCTCTGTCTACCTCTGTCTGTCTGTCTGTCTGTCTGTCTGTCTGTCTGTCTGTCTGTCTGTCTGTCTGTCTGTCTGTCTGTCTGTCTGTCTGTCTGTCTGTGTGTGTGTTTGTCTGTCTGTGTGTCTGTCTGTCTGTCTGTCTGTCTGTCTGTTGTCTGGTTGCTTGTCTGTCCGCCTGTGCGTCTATCCCTCTCTCTCTCTGTTTGTTTGTCTGTTTGTCTGCCTGTTTATTTCCCCTCTCTGGCTGTCTCTCTCGCGTCTTCCATGGCGGCTCCGGATCTCTTCGTTCATTCATGCTTTCATTCTCGATTGTAATGACTCAAGTGTGAAAATTGCAATTGACGGTGATGTGTTTTGAGCAAGGCGAACAAGTACACATGTGGAGCTCTGCAACAGCGTGAAGCGCTTGAATGAGTTGAACGTAGCCAGGTTGCTGACTTCCCGATTGTATCAGCGATACGCCTACATCCATACGTGCGAAACGCTATCCAACCTGAAATATTTTTCATGCGGCTCCACGGAAGTCAGTCTGGTGGTGGTTGATGAGTTCATTTCATTCATGTGTGCGTCAAGATACGCGCGGGAGGGAGGTCAAAGCAGCTGTGAGCAATCTATCGCCCCCTTCAGTGGTGTATTCGTATGCAAGTCTTTCGTTATTGTGATGGTATTTCCTCCAACGAACGCCTTCTTCCACCTTGAACGTACTCCCTTCCCCAATTGCCCAATGCGTCTTTGCTTCGGCAACCAATGTTGTGCCTGCCGCCGCTGTTACTGCCCCGCTTTGATCGTCGCGCCGCGCGCACTCTCGTTCTCCCTCCTCTCCCCCCCTCGATCTCTCTGGGAGGGAAGATTTCGCCGCGCTGGATAGCTTTTACGACCCCGACGACGTCAAGGAGGCGTGACAATGCACGTACATTTTTTGTAGATCCATTGGAAAATGAGTTCATTCCTCTCGGGAAATGAACTAATTTCCCGCCGCCCGCGTGTTGGCTGCTTGGATGCGGATGAGATCATTCAATGGATGAATGTACCTGATTGGCGGTGCGCCACCTCTGCCTCACTTGGCTCTACACTTGGCTACAGCTTGACTCGTTTTGTGAACGTGTTTTCGGTGTCGGGAGGGTGGTTCATTGCAGCGATGCGACAGAGAGAGGGAGAGAGAGAGAGAGAGAGAGAGAGAGAGAGAGGCAGAAGTCGGATATTTTTTGGATTTGGGGGTTTTCAGGGAAGTGAGGAGTGAATCTTTTGCGTGCGTGAAAATCGACATGATCCACGACCGACCCGTCCTCTGCGAGGGAGAGGCTGCAACAGAGGGAGTATGACCGACCTATCGGGAACACGTGAGGTGAGTTCAGGTATTGCAGTCAGCGCAACAAGATTCACTTCACTGGGAATGGGTGTTGGGAACCTTCTGCACGGGAGTGAATTTCGATCAGGGGATCGATGTGTTTTTCTGTGAAACCATCTGCTACGAAAGGATGTATTTCACGTTTGACATGAAGCCGGTTGTGGAACTATTGGGCAGGCTACAGCAACGTTGCTGTTGGCTTGGTTGGAGGAGCCATCGGCAAACCAGGGCGGCGACAATCGTGATTTGCTGCTCAATCTGCCCAGTCTATATTCTGTTGAGAAGTGTACCATTTTTTCGTTGGTTTTGACGAAAAAGTCAAGGCTGCCGGGGTGCATTCGATTGCATGCAGAGAATCCGAACTATTACGTGTCTTGATTTGTGTGGTCAGTTTTTGTGGTGGTTCGATCGGCCAACAATACGCCGGCCAAAGGTCGTTGTTGTTATATCATGTAGCCGGTCAAGATGGTATTACTCGCGTTGGCGAATCTGTTGCTGTAATGCACGATATATCGCTTAGCATTGCCAATTAAACGTCATGCCTGTCGTGACAACCTAGGCAGCATGTCTCTTTGCAGGACGCCCATACCATCGCTCTCCGGGGATGGAAACGAAAGCAGTGTTGTCGATACTGAGAGATGAGCAAATATTGCACTCGGTCACGCCGCGCGCTCGCACTCGAAACATATCGGCGGCTGATTTCTGCTGTCCCATTTGTCTCGTACTCAGCATGCTGTCTAGTACTCTGCGCTGCACACGGCATGAGATGCTTTGCTGGCCCTGCTGTCCGCGAAGGGAGACGATGGACAGAATTGCAGTAGCAGAGATGGACGCGATCACCATAGGGCGTCCGATTCACAGGACAAGGGAGGGTAGACACACGCCCGCGAGACGGGTCGAGGGGCACAGCCTTAACGGGTCACCACCACCACCACATGCACCCCGCGTTTAACCCCCTTCAGAGCACAGCACTAACCGGTGACCATCGCTGCAAGAGAAGCAGCCAAAAGCGCTATGAGATGTAGACGCTGACCGGTTGATTCTGTGATAGGTTCGGCTCCTCAGCCTACGGGCGCCTGTACTTGCGCACCATAGAATGTGCTGTAAAAACAAAGAAGGGGTATGCATAGCTGAAGGCAGGTGGCTACCTAGCGGGGCAGCACCGGGACGCGTCTACTGTGTGCATCCCAAAAAAAAAAACTAAAACGTTTTGGCCATTTTGACAGCGTGGTACCTAGCCTCCTCGCATGGGGACCGCTGCAATGACTTCACGGTCGTGTGTGCTTTTATTAGTAGCATCGACCCCGCTAACCGGCTGACCAATGAAAATACGTCAGTCTCAGTACGGTTGAAAATACAAAACACTTCCATCTGCCATGAACTGGGATCCCGTGAGGGGACAGCATGGGGGGGGCTAAACTATCCTTCGGATCAAAGACAGAAACAGCAGCAACAGAAGAAAAACTGCACGCGTCCACCAAGGCTACCATGTACTCCAGTTCGTTTCGGAGTACTTTCACCATTATCCTCCTTGTTTTCGCTACCATCATTCTGATCCTCGTTTTGACAAGAATACCTTTCCAGTTCTTCCCTAGTCCTACGTTTTTTGTTTTGGGAAAGGTCATCCGGCCCAAACCCTTTGCTCTCTTCCACTCCTCCATGTTTTCCTCTTCCATCGTCGTCTTCTTCCTCCTTTCTTTCCTTTCTCTTTCCTTCGTCTCCGTCACTCCCAAAAGAAGTACCCTCATTACTATCGTTGTCGCAGAGATCCCAACCGATTGGCCCTAGTGGAAGTTGGTCGATCAGTAGCCCATGACGTTTGAACACATCGTGAGTTCGCATCGACAGAAAACGAGCTAGCTCGAAGGTAAACCGTCTTCGACCTAGGCTCTTTCGTCGTCGAAATTCCCCCGGCAAAAAGCTTCGTGCGCCGAGTGGTTGGCGATAGCAACGATGAGTCGATTGGTGCCCTTGCCGAGACCACCATTCGTTGCAAAAGCAGCAGTAAGGAGGGTAGATCTAGTCGGATTGAAAGTTCCCGCATAGTGATTTGCCTCACTTGCAGCTCGATCCTCGAGGGCGGATCCTGGCTTTTGCATGGACTTGTCGATGCTTCGACCTGCGGATGGGTTGACGATTGTTACGTCTATAAGAATGGACTTGGTGCAGAGTTCCTCTTCCTCCTCTCCTGGGTGTAATCCTGGGGGAATCACCAAATCCATCTTGTATAGCCCCTTTCCCCTACCAGTGCCCGTGGTAAAAGGGGAAGAATCCTCAACGGCTATGGGCATTTGGCACTCACGCAGTGTCTTGAGGACTGCGCGAACCATCCTGTTATGGAGGAAGGTTGAGGCGCCGGTCTTGGTGCAGACGAGGGAGTGGGCTCGGCTCAAGCGGTCCTTGCATGGTAGCAATGCACCTGCACCACAAAGTTTGCCTGTGTTGCAGTCTGCTCGATCGTGACTCCCCAGTACACGACCGATTGACTCTCGATATAGACCAGGCAGCATTCTTTCATCTGCTGACAACCCTCAACCACGACAAAACTCCCCTGTCTTTCGCTTCCTCCAAGCTGATCAATGCCCTCTTTGACATTTCCTCGCCTGCTACCTTCTGCAAGTCTGTCTCCACCATGTGACGCACTGCTGCATGAAAATGGNTTGACTCTCGATATAGACCAGGCAGCATTCTTTCATCTGCTGACAACCCTCAACCACGACAAAACTCCCCTGTCTTTCGCTTCCTCCAAGCTGATCAATGCCCTCTTTGACATTTCCTCGCCTGCTACCTTCTGCAAGTCTGTCTCCACCATGTGACGCACTGCTGCATGAAAATGGTTCGAAAGGAGAGCTTGGGCTCCAAAGACTTGGTAGTGTTGACCAAATTCATTTCGGTTGTAGGTAGACGGTGGTTGATGTTTTACGTCAGGGATTCCATCTTCACTGGGTTTTCCCGCCTTCCCTGGTCGTGTGTGTGTGTTCATCCCATCTATTTTGGCGCCAGTTTACAGGGCTTCCGGTGGATATACCTGACGTTTCAGCCGGGGTCACGCGAGGAAGGTCGCACAGGGGCTCTTTTTTTCACATTTTTGGTTGTATTGCCCCACCTCTCCCACTGAGGTGCTTGCATCAGTGGTTCATCGCGAGAAGGATTCAGCCATCCCTTTCCCTCGTCGACCCTGAAGCCGAAGTTCGACCCGGTGGTGAAAATGCTTTTTTTAATGGCCCAGACCAAGACACGTCCTACTCTCCATTCTGCCCCCGCATAACGCACAGCAAAAAAGCAAAAACATCCAGGGGAGTACAACGCACCGAAAAGGGGAAAAAATGGTTGGTTTTGTGCCAAAAAAAGAAAACAAGGGAAGAACGAAGTGTAACATCAAAATGTTCGCGTTAAGCGCTGCTAACAGAAACAAACACACGTCGTTCGGTAGTATGGAGGGAGAGATTCCAGCACACATGCCGAAAACAACCAACCCAAACGTTCCATACACCACCTGAAGCGCAAGAGCACAAGAATGGAACAGACAGCGCCGCCCGCGGGCTACGAATGATCCTTGGCGCAAGCCATAGCACGCGGCCCCCGGCGCAGCGACGTACGCATGCATCGGAACACACTCGCGTGCGCGACTTGCACGAGCAGCCATTGACGACCCTTTCCGACCCGACGAACAAGCGCTACGCCGTGGTGCGCTACCTGACACCACCACCCGGCAGACTCCGCCTCCGTCGCTGTTGCTACTGCGAGAACCCCCGCCACCCCTACCGAAAATTCTAGGCGTGAAGGCTTTTCGATGCATGGACGCATGCATCTTCCGGCACCCAGCGCGCGCGCGTGCGAGAAACGATATGGTGCACCGCTCGCCAAGGCGCTCTCTCCGTTATTACCTACATGATGACCCCGGCAGCAGCAGCAGCAGCAGAAGAAGCAGCAGCAGCAGCAGCAGCAGCCACAAAAAGACAAAGGCGTGGCGTCCGCCTTCCCTTACTATTGTACAAGTGGAGCGAAACGACAACGTGCCGCGCATCTCACGCGGGCATATGCGTTGTCACTGGCACCCAGGAGAAGGCCACAAAAGAACACGCGCACACGCATGGGCCGACGGCACCGCTCCCTCCTTCCCATAATATACCTTCCGTCGGCGTCTTACCGCCAGCAGCAGCGCCAGGAAGCACAGCTGGAACGGAGCGGGCGGCCCGGACACACACGGCTTTCTTCCCCTCCCCCTACGCTCTCAACCGACCGTCAGAGTCCACTACACACCCCGCTCCCGCCCGCGCCGTGCGCCCCCCTGGTGGCAGCACCGCTTGCTCCTGACGTAGGGAGATCTCCTCACACAAGCTGCGACTCCTTTGTGCGGCCGACCGAGTAGGTGTCGCGTGATTGGGGGTCCATGAAGGGGACCCGGGCCGATGACCCCGGGGCGTCGATGTCCTCGAGGGGCATGTATTCCGCCAGGATGCCTCGCACCTGCACCGAAGGAAAGGAAAAAAAAAGGGAGATGGGGGGCAAGCAAGCATTGTTTGGCGTGGCGTCGCCATTCGGATGAATTCATCTCGTCCGTTGGGTCATGGTGTTGCTCGCATACATCACGTGTGCGTGCTTGCCCTCCTCTCCTCGTTTGCGAGACCAGTACGGCGGTCGGCTCTTGGCACGGCAGCGAAAACACATGTGCGTCCACATCGCAACCAACACACCCGGATAAACGCGCGATTCCTTGTCACCCCCCGCACCATCGGGGGCCCTGCGCGGGCCTTGGCAGGCGTTCATTATTCTGCTACCATACGTGTTATCCGGGTCTCATTCGTCGGCCGACAAAACAGCCTACACATGAGAGCCTACATATCAAAGCGCAGCTGACGCCGAGAAATGGGACCTTCGGTTCACGATTCAGGTGAGACACGAGCGTGCCCGCCACAGCCAGACCCGCAACAACAACAAAAAAGCGAACACACATACCAAGACACATACACATATACCAAGACACACATACCAAGACACACATACCAAGACACACATACCAAGACACACATACCAAGACACACAAACGCACGAACACACACACACACACACACACACACACACACACACACACACACACACACACACAC